AACCCTAACCCTAACCCTAACCCTAACCCTAACCCTAACCCTAACCCTAACCCTAACCCTAACCCTAACCCTAACCCTAACCCTAACCCTAACCCATACCCATACCCCTAACCCTAACCCATACCCATACCCCTAACCATACCCCTAACCCTAACCCTGTTCATAACCCTAACCCTCCTCTCAACATCCCAACCCACCATCACAACTCCCCCCTCAACACCAATCTCCAACCCAACACATCAAACACTCTAACCCTCCCTTCTTTCCTTCTTTCTTTCTTTCTTTCTTTACATCTCCTTCCTTTCCTTTCTACTCTCTGCACCTCACTCCACCCTCCCCCCATCCGCCAGCCCATGCCTAACCCTCCTTTCAAAACTTGACCCACCCTAGCGCACGCTCCACATAATCCTACGCCGTACGTTAGCCAACCCTAACCACCATTCACCTTTCAACCTCCCACACGTTACCTTAACCTACTGTACTGGAAATTTTTTCCCTTACGGTTAGCCTTAACGTCATACGCTGCCATCGAGCTAAGCGCCCGCAACACCCACAACCCGAGTTCTGAAATCCGAGTTCTGCATTTCCATTTCTGCCCTTCGCGCCTCCTGTAACCGCTCCCTCCAAGCTCTTGTATAAAATCTCCCTTCCCCAATGAACAACCTCTGCACTCCTTATCTCCAAAACTCCTCCGGAAATGCCTCCGACTTCACCCTCTTCGCCTCCGGAGAACCGCCGCACCACCCGCCCGAACCGCTGGCCCAAGCGCAGAACAATCACTTCGACACCTCTGCCCGTCTCCGCTGCCCTGCCGGCTTCTTTGCTGTCCTCCTCGAATCCTGCCCTGCCTTGCCGCCCTCTAGTTCGCTTATCCTTGTCTTTCCTATCTTCGCAGACATCGCTTTCTTGCTTTCCCATCTTTGCGCCACCTCCATCATTATTCATGCGCCACGCTTGTCGCTCCCGTCCTAAAATCACGCCCCTCCGACGGGGACCAGAAATCGGCCCTCCCTACTCTATATATACCTCCTTGATACTTCTCGCTTCCGACCATTTGATCTTATATATAGGCCCTTGCTGTTGCTTCAGACCGACCTGTAGCCTGTCAGACACCATGCTTCTTGTTTTCATCCTCATCCTCAGCCCTAGATTCGCTACCATCTTACCGCTCTCCATGGCCTCTGCGCCGTCATCACCCTATCGCAAGCCTCGTATCACGCTCGTGTGCTTCCTAACACAGTACCCTTACTTTTATACAGGCTCGGCCTAGCCTTTCCTGTCCACTTGCTGCCATGCATGCTGCTCGTTCGCTTTTCTACTATTTTCGACAAATGCGCCACATCTAACGGCTGTGCTCCACTTTTCACCCGTCTTCCTCAACCCACAATGTGGGTTGAACTTCACTTCACTCACTTTTGTTTTAGCACAGCTACAATCATATTTTCATGCTTACTGGTCTCTGCCCATACTCTTTCACCTACATGTCCGGGCGGGATAACATCATCAACTGCTATCATTCCAGTTTAGGCTTGCTTCTGACTACACCACCCGCAGTATGCGCCTGAATGCTGTCCCTCTTTAGTCTTTTATACTCTCTCTCTACCCTTTTCTATATTTAGCACCTTCCAACCCTCTCCCTTCTTTCTTTCTTTAGATCATCCTTCCAACCACCCACTTCTTCTACCGTCCATCCAGCCTACCCGAACCTCATCATCACCATAGACGATCTAACCCTTTTCTGCCTTTCCTGCTCTTCCTTTTGCCCTTCTATCCATGATACCCACTCCTCCTTCTCCCATTCCACCCACTCCTCCTTCTCCCATTCCACCCACTCCTCCTTCTCCCATTCCACCCACTTCGGAATCTCATCCGGCACCCCCGACCTGCTTTTCTTGCGTCCCCACCTCCATGCTTTCGGTTCTAACGTCTCCAGCTTCGTCCCTTCCCTTGCATCCGTGATCACCGAGTACCACATCCTCTCCCCTTCCTTTGTTGTCTGCGTGAACACTTCCGAGCTCGGATATGGCAGCACCCAGTGATACGCATATAGTTTCCGCCACACGTGCTCTGAAAACCGCTCCCCTAACCGCTTGCCGTTGTTCTTCATCCCCAACCCCGTTAGCCCCCGCCGGTACAGCTTGCGGTACGGTCCATCCTCCCAATGTGTCCGCGCTCGTCCATCGTCAAAATCGAACAGGAACCTTCGGAGATCCCCTTCGCCCTTCAGATCGCTCCGGTTGCCAGACACGAGGTGCACCCCGTCCGTCAGCATCTCCTCTAGATACTCTCGACAGAATCCCTGCCCACCCGCCAATGCTTCCTCCAGCCGCTCCTCTCGTATCTCTCCTTTGATCGTCTCCATGACGTCCTGCCGGAATTGTCGCAGGCAGATGTGCGCCATCCATCCCAACAGTCGTTCCCGTATCGTCCGGTCCGCTTCGTGCTTGTCTATCCAGTCCATCGCCAGCTCCAGCTGCCGTGCCGCCCCAAAGAACTCGCGCGCCTGACCTCCCCTTCTGAGGTACTGCCCCCGCAGTGTGCTGTTCCCAAACAGCACTTGATCCGTCACCTCTTCCAGGAACTGCAACTTCTTCCAGTCGAACCGTGGCTCCAGCCAGCAATACCCGTACCGCTTCAACGTGTTGCGGAAACCCAGCCCATACCACACCCGCCGCTCCCGTCCCTCCGTCGCCTCGCGCTCACTTCGGCTCCACCACAGCGCAGACTCCCTCTCCAGCATATGTCCTCCGAACACGAACCGTAGGCACCGCAGGAACATCGCCATCATTTTCGTCTGCTCCCAAGTCACCAGCTCGCGGTTACTCCGCGCGAGCACAATCTCAAAGCCCGTTGCGAACTTGTCTGCCCTCCGCCAAAGGTAGTCCAGGTATACCCGCGTCCGTATGCACCAAGCATACTCCGGGCAATCTACCAGCAAATCCTCCATCTCTTCGCCTTGCTCTAACTCTAGTCGTGCCATGAGACCGAGAAATAAAGACCACTTGACCCTATGCTCCTCTCGAATCCCAAATGACTTGTTCATCGAGTCCGTCAGTGCCACCTGCGTCCGTCGTTTGCTCGCGCAGTATGCCCGCTCAATCACCTTCGCCTCTCTCCGTCTACCGCCCATCGCCTGCTTCGCGCCCTTTCGTATCTGCCGGTCCAGCGCCATCTCCTCCAGCCCGTCATTTTCGAACGGAAATTTCTTCGTCGCATCGCCAATCTCTTTGCTCGACCCGTAAAACTGGCTGTATATCAACCCACCTTCCCTCAGCTTTGACCTCTTCGGCGTCACGCTCGTGAGACTGCTTGCCTCGTACAGCATGTTCTGATGGAAGTAACGCTGTCCCTGCCCGATGCCGGGCGCTTGCCCGTCATACATCCATTCCATATACGACTCCAAACAGCACCGTTTCCATTGGTACACCTGTGCCTCCTCGTCCATGTTCATTCTCTGGTAAGCAAGCAGCCCAGTCCGCGGGCAGATCTCTTTTCCAATATCTACATACAATCGATCCTGGTATACGTAGTCCATGTCAAGCACTCGCTCCAAGTAGCTCTGAAAATTCTTCATCGCGCCTAACAGCGTAGGTCTGGACGGACTTGTCTTGAACTGCAGCTTCGTCCCCTTGGCCGAGAAATAGAGCTGCGGCTCCCTAAAATCTGCCAGCCCTGGCTTGCTCGCAATAGTATCCAGAATATCCGTCCAGATATCATCCACGTATTCTGGTTGGAGATGATATCCAATGGCACGTTGCGCATGATAACTCTCCGTGTCGATGAGTCTCCCCTCGACCTGGTACGCCCGAGAATTGGCCAGCGCATGTCGGTGGCTGGCCGGAAGATGCTGCGTGTAATGTGCCCCCAGATATTTGTATACGGCCGGGTGAAAGACTTGGTCCATCCACCGCGACAGCTGGTCATTTGTAAGCGACCTGAATGTGCCATCCTGCCTCGCTGGCAGGTGTGGAAACAATATATGCACAGTGATGTCGTGTGCACTCTCAACACGCCCCAGTAAGAAATGAGGCACATCCCTCAGCATCGCGAGCCGAGGGCGTGGCACCTCTCCGTCACCAACGCCGTCCCCAAACATATGTGTCTCGAGGTGCACATCATTCGTCATGTTTTGCCTCATCTGTGGCGCTGGCTGGTACCAAATCCCCTGCCGCGCCCCGGCAAGGGAGCGGAAAAACCCCATGAAGCTGTCAATGTCGGAGGCAACTTGGGCCTCCATCTCTCGACTCTCTTCCTTGTGCAGGCAAACGTTATATGGGTATGGCTGCGGGTGCGTCTGATCCACAGGTACGCCGCAGTACATAGCACGCCATTGTGCCGCAGTAGGCTGGCGATGTCGTGCCAGCCTCTGCGCCGACATAAAGTCTGGCAACTTGATCACCGAAGGGAAGGTCTGATCGTTGAAAATCTCATCCAGCCCATGGTGGTTGTCTCCAGCCTCTTGCATATGCTGCCTGTGCCCCTCTTCATGCTGTTCGGCTGAACATCCATGGAAGCCACCCTGCAACTCTTCGTACAACTTCTGTACGGTGTATTCATGAGCCGAGATCTCGGCCTCGCTTTCGCCACTGCTGTCTCCTTCCGACACCTCAGAGACAAAGTCGTACGTTGAGCTTTCATCCGACGCCTCGGCCTGACTATTCCGAACAGCCGACCCAAACGCTCGTGTACTGACACCGTCATCCATCTCATCCATATGCAGCTCATGCCATTCCTCGTGTGCTTCCTCCTCTTGTAGTAAGTCGCTCGTCGGCCCTTCCGCAACATCGCGTCTTGTCCTAAAAAATGGGTTGCTCGAAGGAATAGTCGGAAAGAATCTAGTTATGCCAGTGTGGCCGCCCCTAGCCTCAGGCTGGTCGTCTGTGATGGTCAGACCTTCTAACCCGTACAGCGCCTCATGCTCTTCTACGGGCGTCGCGTCCCACTGCAGCTGGGCATCATTCGAATCTTGAGCGAGCACCATGTCCTGAACACGCAAGCCGACTCCTGTCAACGTCGGCGCCGACTCCTGCTCTCCAAAGGACTGCTCGGTGACGGCCTCAGCCTGCACCAATTGCTCATGTGTTGGTGACCGGGCGGCAGCTGCCGCCAAAGCTGCCACACGCTTCTCTCGAAGCCGCCGGACCCTCTCCGCCGTCTTCTCTCGTTTTCGTAGAGTGGCTTCATCTGTAACAGTCATTGGAGGCCGACCTCGTCGCCTTGCAGCGGCTTCTCTTCGAACCACAACATCATCCCCCGGCACAATTGCCCCAGCTACTTCTGATTGCTGGGCGATTCGTTCACGATAGGCACGTGTCCGCTCCGCAGTTCGCTCTCGTCTCCGTAGAACATCTTCGTTCGTAGTATCAGCTGAAACAGGGCGGCCTCGTTTCTTCGCCATGATCTTGGTAATATAGTGAATGTGATCGAATTGCCTCGCCCCTCTTGAGGCATAGTGGTCTCTTTATTTCGTTCACCATTTCAGCCCTTACTTTCTTTTTATCCGATTTGGCCGTGATAACGCGTAGCATGTGATGAAATGTGACTCGGTATATCGGCCCGTGTCTATAAACACCAAACTAAGCTACTATTGTGATCTGTGGCGTCTTGAGCCCCTTTCTGCCCAAAGGCCAAAAAAAACGCCGCGCAACATAGAACCAGAGAGTCTAGAAAATCCACGCTGCTACCGCTTTGTTATCATATAGATACACTGTTGCCCTGATACACGCCGGAATGCCTCCTTGCAAGCGTCAACCCACCTTAATGGTTGATATTTGTGCTAGCTGCAGCCGTCTCAAAGCCACCCTCGATCATCCAACTAATGCAGCAGCCTGGGTGCAGGACCCTGACGACGCCTCCAAAAAATATCTTATCGCAAGGTCAGTTGACGCTGCCATCAATTTTGCCGTGCAGGAGCGATCTGTCCAGGAAGTCACCACAATCGCCAAGAGGACGAACGTCACCAAAGCCTCTACCCAGACTACGCGTTCATCCCGCAAGCGAAAGGCCGATACTATCGACGAGATCGAGCTTATACAAGCCCTTGTTGAAAGCTCCTCGCAAGAAGACGCACCACTCGACACAGCTCCGGAAAAAGCATCGGACGATGCAACACCAGGGAACACAACACTAGAAGCAGAAACCCCTGTTGACCATAACAAAGACCTTGACGGAGCCCCGGCTTCAGAGCCCGAACCAGATGAGCCAATTCAAGATGCGACTCCCGAAAAGTTGCAATCCGTGACGAATGTCAATGCCACAAGAGAACGCAAGAAGCGCCAGAAACGCAACGATGATCTTTCATCCATCCTGGACGGTATTGGTGATCGCTTCCGTCAGATGCAATCCAGCCCGAAAAACATACGAATGTTCGACACACAGTGGTCCGACATCAAACGCTTTGTTCTCGACCAGAACGACCTCTACGAAACCCATGGGGCACAGCTCCCTCAAATCTTCGATGCCGCCTGGAATGTAGGTGGCGCCGCTCTTTTCATCGAGTGGAAGAAGATCTTGACGTACTGGCGTGCCACCTCGCGCGATTCGCAACCAAACCCTACTTTCCCCGTGCTCCCCGTGCACGGCTGCGTAGAAGAAACACCTCAATCCTCTCTTCCACCGTCCGCCCAGTCTGAGTCATCCCTAAATACTTCCACTGAAGCCAAATTGTCATCCTTGCATCTCGCTCGTCAAAAACTCAAGGCTGCCTATCAAGAATTCACAGCCTCGAGTGCTTCATCTCAGCTCCAGAAAACTGTCTATAGAAACGCTATCGCCGACATCTACGCCCATTACATCGACATCCAGAAGCAGCTTGCCGACCCCGATATTCAATCTGGCCTAGACGATTCGTTAGCCCCGGCGACGCTACTCACCCAAGGCTCTAAACAGGTCGCAAGCAGTTCCAAAATCGAGCTCTTCCGTGCCGCCCATCCAGGCGTTGATCCACCAGCGACACGTGACGACCAGTCTATCGCCGGCAAGCACTGGCGCTCTCTAGGAAAAGTCATCGAACAGGGCAAGCGATGGTACACCTTACGGCAGGAATGGGGCCCAGCCTCCTTGATCCTATGGCCAAGTCAATCCATGTCTCACAGCTCCCTTGAGCGTCTTCCGCAGCCTTTGTTCACACTTCTCCATCATCTTGTCTCTCGTTTTCGACCGAACCGTTTGGACCTTGCTGCGCCGTTCATGGCCATGTTCCGTCAGATAGCTACTTCTCAGACGCCACCTACCGGCTTCAATCACATCGAGCGCCTCTCGGAGGATGAGATTCGGGCCATCGCTATGGACTGGTCTCCAAACCCTTCGTGGCTGATAGAGAGCGGTGAAGACAGGATCGTTGAGCTATCGCATCCAAATCGATCTGTAAATGACTCGGAGGATGAGGAAATAATGTAAAATTGTTTTAATCGATGTAATATATCATTTGAAGGTAAATAACGTGCTTTTAAAGACTCTAACGGAAAGGTGTAGATGGTTTGGTTTGATTTATCTAAAAATTAATATTTTCTGGCCAAACTTATTCAGTACTGTTATGAAGATACACTTTACACCCCTAGCGTCGTGTTTAACCCTATACACTCTAGTTTGACCAAATAGTTAATATCTCTAATATTCTACGTGTATTTCTTACTGGTTCTCCCTGTAAATGATATTGTTGTCGTTGAAATACGCTCATGGTTGAAGTGTTTTGGGTAAACAAACGCAACGCCACACAACACCGCTGAATTGTGACGCTTTCACACTGTATTCAAGTCTCACGCCGCAACACTACATGTATAACATATTAATAAATATTTTATGTCAGCGTGAATTCTTTGGTTCCATTCTATATAATTTTTATATTTGATTTCTCTTGCTAATGTGTTGTATGTTGCGTCACAAATGAATTGTAACGCTCTTGGCCACTCAGCTTTCAGCCAATCACGGAATTGTGACACCCAGAATCTGGTCTATTTCAACACGTCTTTCCACCAACAACAGTACATATATAATATTAAAAATAGAATCACTAGATAGCTCTAACTCCATGATTTTCATAAATGTATTTTATATGTCTTTTACTTATTGTATATGCGCTGTGTGTTGACCCGAAAACTGGCCAATCACGAATTGTAACGCTTTTGATAGCCGCACCCAAAAACACCAAAAGCTGGTCTATCACGACATTCAGCCTAGTTTTTCAACGCACTCTCTGTCTCGCAACACAGCACCAATTATGATAAAAATGGGTTCCCTAGATAGCTGGAGACATTCTCTACAAGATAAAATGAATTTTAGACAGTAAATTCACGTCTGAAGCCTAACCCTAAGGTACGTACATCACCTTGACTCACCAACCACAAATACCATACAACCAACTCGCCTATCTCCCGGGGCAAATACCGATGAATGACCTTGACGTCACCACTCAACGCATAACCTTTGTGATATTTGGTCACAAACACAACCAAACCGTCCTCGATGAACACGTTTCGATGTCTGCCTTTCCATGTGTTGCTATGCCGGATACTCAATATCTCGGTCCCACGCGCGGGCTGCCCTCCCGTGATATGCGCCGCTACTAACAACTTCTCGCGAAACTGCACAATACTGGCCATATACTTCTCCACTTCAATCCCATTCAACCCGGACTTAGATCCGATTCGTTCGAACTTTCGTCAAACCTCGGGTTGCTGTCCAATGCGGTCGAACAACCATTGCTTGCTGTTAATAGGTAACCATGTGCGCTCATCGTCCAAAAAACTCCACCCGGGTGTTGTATTGGTTGGATCGTCCCGAATGGTATTCCATGGCACGTTTGGAATGTCCTTTGCTTTCTTACCGCCACAAAATAACAATTCGTCAAACATGATCCGTCGCATCTGCTCGACCAACCCGTGCACCATGCCGCGGAACTGGGCCATATTGAACTGCGCTTTCTTGTATAACAACTCGTCACCATTACACCACTCGACATGGCCACTGCTGGTCGTATTGTAATGGATCTTCAATCTATATGTCCGCAAATCCAACATCCACTGTATTGGGCCTTTCGTTCCGCGGACCATGAATTGGTCCATCATGTCGTTCACGAAATCCAAACAACTCCTTGCACGACGTGTCTGCGGCCGGCCCCGTGGTTCCATGACTGGACTCGATGGGTTGCCTGGACTGCTCCGACCATGTACGGATGAACTGGCCCATCTAAACCGGTTCGGCGACACCGGTTCGTGTGGGATTGGGCTGCTTGACCTGCCATGGCTTCTCCACTGAACCCTGGACGACGGACTTGGACTTGCTGTACCATTGCTGTCGTATCCACTATCCTCGTCCAAATCCATCTTCCGCCTGCCTGCGAAATGCTCATTCTCTACTGGGCTTCTCGCCATGTGAACGGCCTTCTGAACCACCATGAACCTGGCGCACTTGATCACGGACGATAAAATGGGTGGGTATGAATCCGGGCCTCGCCATCCTGTTTCACTGACGCCCAAAACGGCCAATGCATATACTAATGCACTTTCATACTCGCTGAACTCGATCTCCATGTTCAACAACTCGACACAAAAATCCAAACATGCTTTTTGTATCGCACTCATCCTGGACTTCTCTCCGTCATATTGTGCCTCGCCGTCAATCACACGGTTCGCTTCTTCGATCATCCTGTTGAACTTCTCGAACTGCTCTGGTGTAAACTTATACGGCGGACTGTGCCAATTGTGTTCTCGCTGGGTCCGCACGAAAAACATCAA